GACTTTCAGAAGTCTGAAAGGATGTAGAGCTTATAGTATGGATAGAACTCAATCATCTTGTTTTTACTTCTAATTGAGAGATTTTTTCTATGTTTTTCTTGGAGAATATGATGTTAGGAGAAGTGAAAAAAATTTTGAAAAATGAAATGAAATTTAGATTATGGATGCTGAATGAAGTGAAAAGGGCAGTTATTGACTGGATACTCTGTTAATGAGATTTATCACTCATACATAAGGTTGACAATAAATTTTCAAAGAACTAAATGAAATTTAAATATTTCTCTCTGATAATACTCATCATTTCTTACACCATAATATTAAGGTTTTTGAGTAGGTTTATATTGACTGCTTTTTGGTTCAACCTCGGTTAGAGACATGGCCATATTGACTTGGTGATCATGGGATGCCTATTAAGTTAAGAGTGTCTAGTTGAAGCAATAGAGAAAGATGGTATAGAAACAATAGATTGAAAAAGAACTTGTACCTTTTCTACTAGAAATTGGCAGGTTACATGTGTGAGTCAGGATAAGATGCAAAAAAAAGTCTGCCACGAAAATCCTTAGAATGGTGTAGTCATGTGCAAATAAGACCAATAGTTACACAAATTTGGAAAAGTCAGATTTGAAATAGGGATGACTAATTGGCAAGGCGAAGTCATTGGAGAGAATATGGTCTGGATAGCATTAATTATGAATAAGAGTTAGCCCTAATTGTTTGGATCATGGTTTATTGAATTGATTTGCTTTGTGTTATATATGATGGATCTTTCCTTCCATTTAAATGAACTTCAATAATTTTGTATGATATTTATACATAAATTTTGGTTGTTGGAGTTGAATAATATTCTCGCTTGTGTTAATAGTTAATTTTCAGGGCTCATTTTGCTTGCCCCTAATAGTAATAAATTTCTTTGGAACATATACCATGAAAAATGACATATCTCTTTTGCCCTTTACATTCATAAACTATACTTCTAATTCTTTAAATAAAGAGTTGAAGTTTACGATTTTAAGGACAGCTATATGGATGGATATTTTGATTAGATCAATTTCTGGCAAGCATATATGGCATGAGATGGACAATAAAAATAATGCTTTGCAGGAAATTGGGAAATGTTAGTTCCCGAAGGTTTGATGGTTCTGGGATAATTACTTTCACGATTATTTCAGTTTGATCAAACTTTTCATTTCCTTTTGATGGGTTTAATCCTTTTTTTTTTGTCAAACATGTGTTCATTTAACCATAAATAAGTTCACAATAGATGGAGTGACATGCCCTGGATATAAAGTTGCTACAAACCCCAAACTTGAGGGAGGTGGGATATACCAATAAATAACACCCCTTTCTCACAAGTATCCTTGTACTGACAACCAAGATAGAAGGACCTATCAGGCTATCATGAGAACAAGGCTGTGCAAATATGAAACAAATAGCAAAACCTGAGTTTTGATACCATGTTAAGTCATCCTATGAGAATGAGACAACAAATGTGGTAACAAACAATCTATGGTTTTACACCTTGTTAGCATCCTATAATAAATAAATAGGTGATAGGTGAAGAAGCCAATGTTAATATGAAGCCACTACAAACCCCAAACTTAACTGATGTAAGATTTAACACCTCTTAACAGGATCTTGAATGAGCAATACGTTTCTTATCTTCCTTTGGGATAGTTGGCCTGCTCATCCATTATTAACTTCCTTTCTGGCACAGATGCTCTTCCGGTTGCCCCAAATAATGTATCAGTGTCCATGAACCCAGAGGGGACTTTTGAGGAGACGAATTCTCATGCAACTATGACAGAAGAAACAGAGAATAAAGAACTGAATTTTGATCCTCCACCAATGAATTCGACAATGTCATATCCATCTCGGAATGATAAGAGCGATATGGAGAACACATACTCACCCAAGACTCAAGGTAAAGTCCCTTTTCTTATATGTCTATAATCACGGTTTTTGTGATGAATTTACAAATATCTGTAGAATGTGATATTGTTGCTTCTTATCAGTTTGGTCTCTTGTTATTTCGATTTTTAATTAACTTATGAATGATTGTGGTTACTATATCATTTCATGGAATAACTGCATTAGGAGTTTTTCTGGGGATGTGAATCTCTATCAACTCTCCATTTTTTTTGTTGTGAGATAATCTACTGGTTAATATTTGTAGCATTTGACAAGGTGCAATCAGTTCCTTCTGGTATTTGTGCATTTTTAGCCTTCAAGAAGGTTTTCCAAAGACTGATTGGTAATTCAACCTTGGTTTATAAACCACGCAGAAGGCCTAAACTTACTTCCTCAATGTCTTACTAGTTTGATTTGTTGCAATATCATTCCATGGATATCTGGTGTTTGACTTTGCATCTTTTTTTTTAGCCTGCATCTTTATTTTTTATCGTTTAATGGTGCACTTCCATTATAAGTGCAAATTGGGTCATAGTTGACAGACAGGGCCTGCTACAGGGACTCGCGTGGAACTGTAGTGGGCACTGTCAGTCCATCATGGTCTGCCAAGGACAGAGGGAAGGTCCAGCATGAACCCAAGGCCATAATGGATTGTTCTATGTCAGGTCTTACATGGCCGTCTCACTATTTTCTTTTTAGGTTTTTCTCAATTTTAGTATAATATAATTATTACTTAGTTCTTGAAAAGAGTGAATGGAAAGTGCTGTGTTGGCCTGCAACAACTCCAAATGTGTCATGGCCGCAGAAATGACCTGGGACCCTTTTCCTAGCATGACTCGTCAATATTGGCATGGTTCCTAGCATGAACTGGGATTCTAGCTGATCTGCCGTCTTAGGCACGGACCAGTTTTGAGCAGAGCTGGGCTGTGCCTTGTGCCACCCGACCTCAATGTTTTATGTGATTTTTGAATTGTCATCTCCAAGCCTTAATCCTGAGAATTAGTTGAGCACAAAACATTCTTAATCATATTCCATCAACCATTATATTTGGATCTTCAGAAGCTGCAGAGGATATGTGTTGAGTATATGTTTCCTCCTCCAAGGTCATTCAAGCTACACTTTACCTTGGTAAAATTGTTATTGTGATGGTTTATTAGATGCTCTCCAGTCTAGCTTTCGGTGGCAAGATATTGTATTTGAGCTGGTGTTCAGGATTTACACAGGTACCTTGGTCTTGTAAAGAAATCTAGCGTATTGACCTAATGCAACTGTAAAGCAAAAACAGGTAAATCTGTATCTAGTGATTGTCAGTGAATGATAGTGCAGATATGAAAGTCATGAATGGGACAGTTGCACATGCGAGACACAGTTCCTTGGACTGAGTTTTCCTCGGTGGGGTTACTAGCCATCTCCATGTATCAAAATGGAATAGAAGTGAATTACCTTGCTCAAACGTTTTAACTTAGTAAGGATCACAAATAAAATCTCTTCTATGCGTCATTTCAAGGGCTTGCGTGCTCTCTTGTTCCAAGGTGCAAGTGACACATATGGAGGGTTTTTTTTTCCCTTTCACTGATTATGAATTTTGATCCTGGGTTGCAGTGTTTTTGTAAATGAATGGATGTGGGTGTATCAAGCGGAGGTGTTTAGAAGTCTGCAGGAGAAAACTGAACTATTTTCATCTGAAATTTGCCTATTACCAGTCTTTTAGAAGTCAAATGTATATCTGTTTTCTGAAGTGTTTTCCCTGCTTATTTGTTTCTGAAATATCTAAGCTTGTTTAGATTCTCACAAAGATCATATTAAAATTATGCATGCATATTAATGCTATTTTTTTCTCTGCAGTCTGTAATTATGCACAGGGTAGATGGGTTGCAGACAGCCAGCGCCCATTCTATTCTGGGTTAGGATGTAAACGGTGGTTACCAAGTCCCTGGGCCTGTAGGCTGACTCAACGAGCAGATTTTTCGTATGAGGGATACCGCTGGCAGCCAATAAATTGTGACTTGCCAGACTATGAGCGGTTTGCATTCTTAAGAAAGTAAGAATTTTTTGTTGATGATATAGTTACTTTGATTTCACTTTTCAACCTCTTTAATCTTTTTGTATGCTGTATTGGCCTTATGGTTGCTGTAATTTTTATATCCTAAGTTTACCCTAGAATTTTTTATAATTTTACACTCTTTAAGATTATTATATAAGGTAATATCTTCACCCAATGCATTGGAAAAGTCAGATTAACTGTCAACTATTGTATTCAATGCAGAAATGTTACTATAATTGCATTTACTAAACAAGACATGACTTGTTTTTACTAAACAAGACAACATTTACTAAACATGACAACATTTACTAAACATGTTTTTACTAAACATGACAACATTTACTAAACATGACAACATTTAGGTTCAGCTCGTTTACTATGACTTGATTTCAGAATGCAGGACAAAACAATTGCATTTATAGGTGATTCATTGGGGAGGCAGCAATTCCACTCTTTAATGTGTATGGCCACTGGTGGGGAAGAGAGCCCTGAAGTGAAAGATGTTGCAACTGAATATGGTCTTGTCAAGCGTTCAGGAGCCATGCGTCCTGATGGATGGGCTTACAGGTTCCCAACTACTAATACCACCATTTTATTTTACTGGTCTTCAACGCTCTGCAGATTAGAGCGCATCAATAACACAGACCCAGATTCAAGTTTTGCCTTGCATTTGGATCGTGTGCCAACTTTCTTGAGGAAATTCCTACACCGTTTTAATGTATTGGTTCTGAATACAGCACACCACTGGATTAAAGCAAAATTTATAGCAAATCGTTGGGTAATGTACCTAAATGGGAAGCCCATAAAAAATGGGATGCTTATGGATATGATGAACGTGAAGAATTTTACAGTTCATAGGATGGTGAAGTGGCTTGATTCACAACTTCCCTTGCATCCGGGCCTAAAAGCTTTCTTTAGGACCAGGTCACCAAGGCATTTGGATAACAAGGGGAACTGCAATAATACTACTCCATTGACTGGAGGGAGTGAAGTCATTCAAGAAGGATCAAGTGATAAAATTGTTGAGACTGCTGTGAAGGGTACAAAGGTTAATATTCTGGATATAACAGCTCTTTCTGCACTGAGAGATGAGGCTCACAAATCCCAATACCGCATTTTTGGTACCTCAGCTTACTATGATTGTTTGCATTGGTGCTTGCCCGGCATTCCAGATACATGGAATGAGCTCCTTGTAGCTCAATTATAAGATTGGCTATGCTATCGATCGGTTGAAGAGGTTGAATTCTAGTATATCGGTTGAAGAGTACATAACTGCATCTGATCCATGGAAATTTATTCGCTAGATATTGATAGAAAAAAGAAGACGTTCATTCAAGCTGCTTTTGTATGAGTTACAAGTGTTATGCTCACCATGTTGCAGAAAAGAAGCCTTGTTCATTTTTTACACACTCCTCTCAACCCAGTCTGAGTAGTTGATGATGGCTTGCTCTTCAATCTGTCTCACATACTTGTGTTAAAAGGGTGATCTTATTTTCATATGCAATTTTTCTCTTTCGAAGCAGATTAGTCACACCTACTCACAACTGAATCTTACCTAAGCATGTAAGGAAATGGCATCACCCATATGTTAAAATTTCTGCAATTCTCCATTACTGTAACTTTTTAGGTATAAATAAGTACTATAGAGTGAAACCTGGATAAAGAAGAAACAATTTGATGGTAGGCAGTCTTTTAAAAGCAAGGTGGTGGCTATTACAACATGTTCTGTATTTCACATCCACATTTTTACCTTTGTACTCTTCGCAACTTCCTCTTCCTTCAACCTCTTTAACTCAAATCAAATAAATTAAATTAAAAAAAATTTACTAAAATTTTTTAGATATTTTTCATAAAAATGAATTAGTTTTTTTTCCTTCGAACCTAATAACATTATATGATTTTTTATTATTAGAGGAAATATGACAAAAGATAAACCTGAGATGAATACATGCATATGCATGTAAATATGTGAGAAATGTAATGATGTTTTGATAAATAGATAAGGCGTAATATAATGATATTTCTCTAAAATGTAAAAAAATTTAAACATTGTACATGTAATGCGAGTATAATAAAAACCATATTATTAAAAATCATGACAAGTAAGAAGTGAAAAATTTATGTAAAATTAAAATTTTTTTTTGAAAAAAATGAACTAAACGAAATATCCCTTTTATTTCTCTTTTCATTTCTATCTAAATGGTAGACTCTTCTCTTTGTTTTATTTCTTTTCTTTTTTTCACGATAAGAAAAAAAATTAAAAGAAATATCATTTTTTAGTTTTTTATATTCATAATTTTTTAAAAAACAAAAGAAATAAAAGAAAAGATTTTATTTATTTATCTAGAGATAGTGGGAAGTTGTTCCTTCACGTATTTCTAATCAAAAGATATATTCTTACAAGTAAGGCTCTACTTCGGGAAACGCTATTCTAATATTCTATATGATGGGTTTGGATTTAACAAAGCTATAAGTTCTCAAATTATTTCTCACTGTCGTCTATTCAGACTAATAAAATACCTCAAACCTCATTTATTATAAGTTTCGAACGAACTAGATTTACTCTGAGTGTGAATCTTCACTAGCCCATGTGGAGATTATTACCTTAAAAGAGCGTAACTATTAAACCATTTCCTAACAAAGAATGAAACTTGAGTAGAAGACTTATGCATAAATGTAAGATACGTTGTATGTGAAAGAACATACCAAACTTTGAATGATAACTTCATATTCTTTTATCTTAAATTCTTTATAATTATTTAATAGCAATAAAATAAAAATAATAAAACAATAAATGCACAAAGTAAATGTTCATATTAAATAACCACTAAATTATTTAAAGCTTAGGATAACTTATAATTAATTAATAATACACATAAAAAATAAGCTTTTAATAATTAAATAGGATATAATTTAAAATTTATACGTGTATCGTGCGATATAAGTTCAATATTTGATCAATGATATAATATATCGATTTGTATCGTTTTTTATTATATTGTAATGTATTATATAAAATGTATTACCTATCATATAATATTAATAACTATAATATTAAGAAAATTAAGACGTTTATGAAAAAAGAAATATATTGACATTATATGCGTGAACTTTTTACTATGTTAATATTTGATCTGTTTAAGTTTTATTATTATATATGAAATAAAAAAATATTTTTATTTATTTAATATTACAATTAAAATAATAAATTATAAAATTAAACATAAAAAATAGTATAATATAAATCATTGTCTGTCAATAACTAATAGATAAATTAAATATATAAACATGAGTATCTAAATTAAAATTTAAATTATGTAACTAAATAATAATTACAACTATAAGTATAATTATAAATACTAATAAAATATCATATAAATAGAGCATATGAGCAAGCATATTTGGATGTAAATATAGTACTCATTATTTATTTGGAAACCACATTTGCAAATATTACATTTGTATTTGATTTGTATAATATACTTTCAATTTTTTGCCTTCACAATTGCAAAGTTGCTAAAAAAGTCATATTTTTTACAACTAATATTTTCATTAGTATTAGAAGCCATTTTGGAAAGATATGAGTTAGTGGATGATTAAAAGATTTTTAATAAGCTATTATCAAATTATGATAAAGAAGAATGATTATATAGTAAAAATAAATGTTGTTTATATGAAGTAAGAGTTTATTCATATAAAGTAAGAGTTTATTCAAATAAAATGAATGAGTTTCATTTGAATTAGTAAGAAGAAGGAAATGAATTGGCTGACAAATAATTACCTTTTAAAGTTAAAAAAAATCGTGTAAATTTTATGGTTTTTTATTTCTTTTATAAATTTTGATGATTGATAATTAATATGATAATTTTTAATACTCTAAATGAAATTCTATATTATAGTTAATATGATACTAAACATATAATTAACTTATAATAATATTAAGAAATTGTTATCAAAATGTTTCTTAAGTCAAAGTTTTTAAAATTCAGGTTTTTTTTCAAACCTTAATTATCAATAATATTAAAGGTTGAATCATCGTTGGATAATAATAATTCGACTAGCCCAAAAGATTAATTGATCATATATAGTTGTAGTTTTGAATAGAAAAAGATATGAATTAAGTGGATGAATGAAAGAACTCCAAGTAGCTATAATCAAATTAATAAAAAGAATAATGGTTATATAGTAAAAATAAATATTGTTTGTGTGGGGGAGAATTGATTCATATAAAATGAATGAATTTCATTTAAATCAGTAGGAAGAAAGAAATTAGTTAACTTGTGACAAATAAATATTATTTAAAAAGTTAAAAGAATCAGGTAAATTTTTTGATTTCATTTTTTAGTAGTTTTGATAAGAATAATATAAGTTTTTTGTCATTTTTATTTCTTTTATAAATTTTGATGATTGACAATTAATATGATAATTTTCAATACACTGAATGAAAATAATCATTATAAATAATATGACATTAAATATGTAATTAACTCAAATTATTAAATCTAAACTAGCAAGCTTTTTCTAGACTAAAAAGTTTTTTCTTTTTTTTTCATATATATATTAAATGTTGAATTATCATTAAATAATCATAATTTGACTTTCCAAAACATCAATTGATTATATATATATATATATATATATTTGAAGTTTTGGGTTGAAAAATTTAGAATATAAGGATAGGTGGCATATTGAATGTGAATATGCTCAAATAATAAATCCAGCAATTTGTATTTAATAACTTTGAAACTTTGACAACTCATATTCGATATCAAACTCCATTTATTTTAGATTACAAATTAATCAATAATGACATTTATGTGATGTGATACTATATTATATAATTTTATATAACTCACAATCATTAAGAAATAAAACAAATCTATAAACACTAATTTATAAATAAGATTGAAAAAATGTATCGTGACAATCAAATAAAATCTTTTTTACTTTTTAATTATTTGTGGACGGAAAGTTCAAATTACAATCACTTGAAAAATTAGACATATTAATTTAGCAAATCATAATGAAAAATACCATAAAACTATGATTTAATACACTTATTTTTAAGAAATAATCTAAAATTTTCAAGCGATTTATATATATATGTCCTGTTAATTAGGGAATTAGGGGTTGGACAATTAGTCCTTGGGCCAGTTACTGGAATCAATGGGGGAATTGGGACTCAGTCTGAGATGAAAATATGAGCAAGAGATTCAGGGCTAGAGGATACCTCAATATATAATCTAATAAATGTGAATGCTTAAGAAAGATAAAAATGCCTGTGTTATGGTGACGCCCCCAAATTAATGTAAGCATTAATCCTTTACCTTTCCCATTTTAATGCATTTTAAAAATAAAAAATAATCTTAATCATTTGGTGACACATTAAAGCTGACATCTTGAAATACACTTGTCAAATTGCCATTTTGGGTAGGAAGCAAATTTGTCAATTAATCTATATAATTATAAATAAATCATAGTCGAAATTTCTATGAAATTATAATGATTTCTGTCTCTCATTTGCTAATATCATAAATACAAAAGCCCTGGTGTTGTCACCTAATAAAGTAACACCACATCAATCAATGTATATATATATAATCGTGGTACCGACTAACAAAACCAAAGTAATAGCTTCGACTCAAAAGGACTGGAGGTTTCACTAACTAAGTTCATTCTCTTTTTCTCCATATAAACAACACA